GTGTATGCAGTTGAATTTTCTCACAGATCTGGCCGTGATCTCATAAATGTAGCTAAAAAAAGAACAAACATCATACCAATTATAGAAGATGCCAGACATCCACATAAATACAGAATGCTTGTTGGTGAGTTTCTTGTTTCAACATTGCTATAGTGTAGCTTCATACCAAAATCTGATGATTTACCAACTTTACTCTTGGCAACTTTCATGGCTCTCATCCCAAAGCTGTATTTAGTTCATGCTTTTTCTTTTTTAAGCCAGAACAGAAGGCAACTTTATTTGCTTGGTTAGCATGGTAACCAGTGAAAGCATTTTTGCTACCAGTATTGCATGCATATGACAAGAATGAGAAATGATTAGCTGGACAGTGTTGGTCAAACTTTACTGAACTTGAATTAAATGTTTAATATACATCTAAACAGCTAGCGTTTGTGCTCCACAATCCCTTTTGTATTAAAGTCCATATTTGTTAAATTTTCCTTTCCAGGAATGGTAGATACTATTTTCGCTGATGTAGCTCAACCAGACCAGGCGCGTATTGTGGCTATTAATGCTCACAACTTTCTAAAAAATGGAGGACATTTTGTCATTTCTATCAAGGTATGCAGAAGCAATGGTAATCACATTTTTGCACTTTTTCATAAGAAATATGACCAATCAGAATGAAGGAAATCTGTATTAACTCTCACATGCACTTTTATCCTATTGTTAAGTAGCATCAATTTCAGTTTCTTTAAGCACATAGATTTAGCAACTTTATTTGCTTATCGCCCTTTGCTTTTTGTGGCCTGATTTACATACAAACAATTTGATGATGTTGTGAAAAGAAAAAAATCATGACCACACACAATATGGAGTCAGATCAAAGTGAGTCAAAGAAAACTCTGCATTTATGTTACAACGATTTAGTTTTGTTGTGGTTTATGCAAAACTTCTATGTTCCACCAAGGAATATCCCTTTTGCCAGTCATGTATGTATTTTCATAGTATACACACTCACCTCTTGAGTATATTAAGAAATTGTAAGTTGCTCATGGTTTTTGTAAGCAACAGACAGCACCTTCTATCAGTTTATTGGTGTGATAACCTATGCAGGATGTTGGTGGAACACAAAAAAAATCACGAGGCGAAAGTGATTATTTCAGGGCTTAAAACTAATGGTAGCCAACTAGCCACAGACTAGTAGAAAAAAGTGGTTTTTGGTTTCCACCAGCCAGTTTGGCCAGTAAACAAACTGAAATTGTTGTAACATCTAAGTTGTCACCAGCTACTTGGTTAGTTGAAAAGTTAGTGTCAAACCCCGTACTTACAAACTTTTCTGGCATTCTCCCTACTTCCTAAGTGGTTATTACCCTAGTAAAGCCATAGCAAGTGCAGTCTATTGCTTTTATGAATAAAGTTAAAACAAAACACAGTATTTTTTTATGGGTTTACCAGTGTAATAAATGATAGGTTTTTTACCAATTGGGCACTCACAGCATATCAGTCATTTTATAACTCACGGTGTACCTCTTGTAAGCAGTGCGTTATTAATATGATATTGTATCAAAATCAGGCAAAAATGACAGATGTTGCTTCTTTGTGTCATTACCAGGCAAACTGCATTGATTCAACTGCAGAGCCGGCAGCAGTATTTGCAGGAGAAGTGAAGAAGATGCAGGCCGAGAAGATGAAACCTCAAGAACAGCTGACACTGGAACCCTACGAGAGAGATCATGCTGTAGTTGTTGGAATTTACAGGTAGCGTTTATACAACCTATGGTATTAAAACATCCAAAACCCAACCTGTGCCTTGAATTGGCATTTTCTATTAATGTTTTGTTTATTATTACACTCGTTTTTCACTAATAGGGGTAAGAAATTGGCTCATTTTGAAAATCATTTGCTAGGCATTAAAAGTAAAGTAATTTTTGGAAAGCAAAGTCCCCTCTCCAAAGCCATGATCAAGTTCATTGTAAATTATACCCTATTTGTAACAAGTACATTTTAGATCCTGTTTCTGTCCAGAATGTGTCAACTTCCTTATTTTGTTTAGTGCAAACCTACACACACCTATGTAAGCCTATGAAAGGGAATACTACCCAGGAAAATACTTATAACACACAGCATTTTCTTTAGGGAAAACTTACATTACCTTGAATTTTGCAAGATTTTGGTACCTTTTTGAGCCATTTGTTTCGTTTTCGATAAAACGTCAATTCTAATGCTTTGATATCCATTAAGATATTTAAACTAAGAAATGAAGCTATTTTTCTCAGAGCTCCTCTCTTCTTCCCTTCCCTATCCCATTTAGGAGCTTTCCTACAAATCCTGATAATGTCTAACAAATCAAATCCTTTCAGGGGAGGGGAGGAATGTTGATTTCTATATTTTGCTATAACATTAGCTTGGGAATTTTAACTGATAGACATTGCTTTTGTTCTGTTACAGACCACCACCAAAGAAGGACAAGCAGTAGAATAGTTTTAACTTTCTAGGATTTTATTGTAACTTATGTCACATTTTGAAATAAAGAAAAATCAGTGATTTCTGTATAATTTTAATGTTCCTAAGAGCTTTGTGTCTAAAAAATCTTTACTGCTGCATATAACTTTACACATTAAATCAGTCCTCTCTGTCATGGTCAATTTTTACTGTAGTAACAACCGTGGTACTGAGAGTTCACCTGGCTCCTAAGACATTTCCAGTATTTTGAAGTTACTTTTGTTTATGTATTTTGATTACCAAACATGCAAGGAAGTCTAAAAAAATTAATTTTGTCAGAATTTGTTTTAAAAACACTTCTCAAAGTTCTATGGAAATGACTGGTTAGGATTTGATAAATGTATATATATCAAAAGTTGAGTTGTTGCTGCGTTCTCTAATAAAGCTTGTTTGTCTTCCCGATAAAGATGTAACTTCAAGAGTGATTCATCTGATTTAATTCTAATTAATTCTTAGAAGGTGCTATTGATTAATATTTTCCCTTTCCCTGATGAAAGAGCAATAATTTGTTTTGAAAAGTTTGACCAACTCCTTTTGAGGATTATAAGCAACTGAATGACAATTCTTTTCGAGGTCAGAATTAGAAAAAAAGGTAATGAAAGTTTGTTAATTTTGAAGAAACCTTTTGGACACGCGCAAAGTCACGCAGACATTGTCACGCAACTACTATTTTCATCAGTAAGTAAGTGAAACTTTATTTACACAGGGTAGCCCATTCAGCTCAAGGCTGGTATCCATAGGGGCCCTGTTTCTTAAAAATAAATTACATCAAATTTCTCAATTAATTATACATATGACGAAATCGCTCTGTGATAAGGAAAATTGCCATGAAAAACGCAGAGTAGTTTAAGAGAAAAAAAAGTTCTGCAGTTACTGGTGGTATATAGATCTGCACTAGCTGAAATACGCAAGGCTCATGACTCGTCGTATACCAAGGCTACACTACTGGTGCAGATCTCACGCTACAAGAGCTGGTGCTAAAACCTGCACTTAGGGGGGCGGGGGGGGGCTTCGGCAGGGAGAGGAGTCGATGAACACTCAGGATATATTGTTCCGTTGTCTAGGGCTTGGTCGGTGTCTACCTCGGAAGACTGAGGAACATCTGTCGGCAGTGGATTCTGGGGTTCGCTGACTATTTGAAAGCGACCACCATGTCCGATTTTTTTAATAAAATCTGGGGATGAGGCATCATTTTCATCAGTACGGTTACCTGTGCCCAGGTCGTTCATCTCCAACATTGGGTAGCCTGTGCTCTCTCGATCGTCCTCACTCAGGCCAAACGATCCTGTGCCCGTCAGAGCTGCTACTAAATTCATGGAATCTTCCTCCCTTTGCAGTGTCGAACCCGCGTATATCTCCTTCATCAGAGTGTAATGGATCTTAGCTGTCTTAGCTCTGAGAATCCATCGATAAGGCCACGACATCTGAAGTAACGTGGCGATCCAGAAGAACAGGGGACTCATCCAAAATGGTCTCACATTTAAGTCCACGAAAGCAGATACATGTTTCTCCAGATCGGGAATTTCTTCACTCCAGGAGTAATCAGTGTAATCAGCCCGATGCTGATTTCTGTCAACCATTTCTGTCTCTTGTCTCTTAAGGTCATCTACAGTTTCCTGGTCGCCGAAAACGATGCTTGAATCAATCTCGAAACAAACAAGGACAACTCTGTTTTTCAGGATCGGCATCTCTCTCTTGGAAACATCAACCCACCAATCGTACGCAAACTGGTCGTGGTCCACAAATGTCAAACCTCTCTCCAAGGTAGTCTCTACATACATGAAATCAAGATAATACGCAATTCCAGGTACTGGCACCAAATTGTAACATTCCACGCTCATGTTGATCTTGGGCGGGATTGTCCGCATTCTCTCCAAGTACCCCCAAGCTGTCTCATCCTCTATGATGTTATTTAGGTACTTCAGTTCATCGCAATAGTAGCCCTCTATAGATACAAACACAGCAGAGACACCAAGCATCACCATCGCCATGATTCTCCAATCGTAAAAGAGTGTACTGTGTGAGGCGCAGTTAGTCATTTCACATCCAGCCAAGAAAATGAGACAAAAATAAAATGAGAAAAACAGGGAAGCTGAATAGAATCTCCACATAGCCTTCAATGATCTTCCGCCAGTCTCATTCCCATCTCCGTCTACTTTCCTACACAGTACCTTGCAGCGAAAGTAAAAATAGAAGACAATTGCCGGACCGGCTAAAAACACTGTTATGGGAGCGAACCACAAGCTAAAATTTTTGTTGTGGTCAAATTTGGTTGGTGTTAATTGAGGTGTAGCTTGAGTTAAAGGGAATTCACCAGTCGCAAACAAATTGTAGTTTTTATCACACGCCAAGCCTTGTCCACTCCATAAAGTACTGTAACTGGTGTCCACACATACGTAATACCTGAAATACGGATAGGATTCACGGCAGAATGATACACCAAGGTCTCCTGGTCGATTCACCAAGAAATCGAAACTGAGTTCTGTGTCCAATTTGGGATGTGGAGTAGGGCACTGCTTCTTCAAGGAACATCTCAAACCCGTATGCCCGGATGTACAGAGACAAAGGGTTTCGTTCCCGGATGTGTAAGCGCAGGTGGCTTTGCTATCGCAAGGCTTTGATCGACAAGTGTTTGACATCGCAGTCACGCCCCTGCATAGTAACCTGAGGCTGGGTTCATCATGCCATCCATTCACGTAATGCACACTCCAAGTACTGGTAACGTACTCAGGTCTTAGCGCCAAATCCTTCACTCTAAAGTAAGCCCGATCGTTAGAACCACTCGGAGAATACGATCCAGTCACCACCCAGTGACTATCGACATACTGCAAATACATCGCCTGAGCTGTGTGTTTGTACACAGGACGCAGATTCCGAAAAAGACCTTGCATCCGATAGAAATAATGTTTTGTCCTATCGATCAAAATGTTCCCTTTTCCGTCATAGAAGGTCTTGTTCAAGTAAAGTCTGTCTGAATTGCATTCTCTAAAATCTTCATCCACGCAAACGGTTGTGATCTCTAGAGACGAAAAGGTAGTTGAGACCCAGTACTTTCTTCTCACGTCGTAATGTAGCCACTTGTAAATAAGTCCGCTGAAAACGTCCCCTTTATCTAAGACCCCGGAAGTCAGCCACGATAAAGGATCTCCATGAAGTTCGGCCGCCACACCAGAATGATCTCCAACTCTGGCTCCAAAAGACAAATAATTGCTCCCATCATCGTAAAAGTGCCGGTAAAATAACAGGCTTTCGTTTTCTCGCCGATATACAGGGAAATTGTTGTGGTTGTAGTTCTCCTTAACGAAGATACCTTCAATGAACTTGTACGGCATATCTGCTTCGTTCAAATTTTGAAAAAAAATCCTCGGACATAGTGTCCTAGATCTCGCGAGAATGAACATTGTGCTTAACAGGAACCAAAGAAGGTTTGACGCCATGTTCGTCTTACGTTATACGACTCAGCAAATGGCTGAGTGAGGTTAGCGATTTCGATTTATATTAGATCTTCTGTCGTAGCACATTTCGCTTTCAGATGAACTCTTCTACCGCCTGAGATCACAAATTAGTGGCGTTTTCCACGAGCTGTTGTCTTGTTTTGAATGACAATAAAAATACTCACCATGGGGCTGAGAAAATCGAAAGATTTATCTTAAGAATTCGATCTCATTGTTTTGATCACAGTCAGTATACCTCCAGGTCCGTTTTCTTTTCAGGACGACCGACGTCGCCTTTTTGGCTCCAAGTGAAGAGTCACGGCATAAAATTCTGCAGCTGATTTTGGAATCACCACTATGATCGCATCATCGAATCATATGTGGCATCACTGGGGTAGCAGTTCTCCTTAATAGCGTAGTTCGTCAAGGTCGCTTCGTTGGTAGTCTACCTCGCAGCAGCGGATATTTAGGGGAAAAAAATACGTGACTGAGCATAACGCCCGCTCACGAGATAACAGGTAGCAGCATATTCCTGAAGCCTGCCTCCGCCCTTGTAAGCGCACGTGTTCCTTGACTTTCGTTTCTTTTAATGGTTGAAGAAATCTCAGCCAGTAAAATCAAAATCCCTATTATTTTTCTGAAGTTACTCCATAGAGGTCCTTAAAAGTACTCGTATTTTCAGTTGTTTACTGACCTTTGTGAAATTAAGTCCTAAAACAACCATAGGATCCAGTCCCCTTGTTTTTCCGCAATTTTGTCATGTTTGCCGGTTGTGCTTTGCCGTTTCTACGTCACGGTAAAAGTAACCTGTTTCGCGTTTCAGCCGTGAACGTAAGATTTTCTCAACTTTTTCCCTCACCGAGTAGAAGTTTATTGCCGGAAACGAGGAACAAAAACTATTCCTTGTAAGTCATACAATAGAGCCTTCAAATTAACCATGACGTGAGCTTACGCCAAGCCAAAGCAGCAAGGTTCACCTTATTTAACGTGAAAGAGCAACCTGACGTTTGCTGTCTCGCGTGTACGTGGTGCTAAATCTCTCTAATGTAAACGTTTCTCCCCCTTGGGAGCTCGGAAAGATGCTATGCAGCTCGCTAAGTGTCCGCGCGTTTGCTGTCTCGCGTGTAAGTGGTGCTAAATCTCTCTAATGTAAACGTTTCTCCCCCTTGAGAGCTCGGAAAGATGCTATGCAGCTCGCTAAGTGTCCGCGCGTTTGCTGTCTCGCGTGTAAGTGGTGCTAAATCTCTCTAATGTAAACGTTTCTCCCCCTTGAGAGCTCGGAAAGATGCTATGCAGCTCGCTAAGTGTCCGCGCGTTTGCTGTCTCGCGTGTACGTGGTGCTAAATCTCTCTAATGTAAACGTTTCTCCCCCTTGGGAGCTCGGAAAGATGCTATGCAGCTCGCTAAGTGTCCGCGCGTTTGCTGTCTCGCGTGTACGTGGTGCTAAATCTCTCTAATGTAAACGTTTCTCCCCCTTGGGAGCTCGGAAAGATGCTATGCAGCTCGCTAAGTGTCCGCGCGTATTATATGTAAAACCATTGAACGAGTTGTAAAGTATCAAAACTTTACCAACACATTGATTTATATTCCACGAAGTAATTGGTAAGGACATAACTATCCATGGAGAGTACTTAAACCACGTCCATGTTTGGACAGATACAACATTCCTTTGGAAAAAAAATTGAATTATACAAAGCCAAGCGATAAGAATGTATTTTTAATATATTTCTTCCCACTCATTTTAGCGCCAACGAAAATGATTCCTTCCATCATTGTAAAAAATCACAATAAGACTTCACAAAAACCAAACAGAGTGTTTCCAGCTGTAAAACAAGGAGGAGTCTGGAACCGACTAGTCTCGCGCATGCTATGTCATAAGCGAAAACTCTTACGTTCACTTCGCTCTGTTTCTCGGATCGAAGCTGTGGGTTTTTTTTTCGTGAGTGGAAAAACGCTCGGTAACAATGGGGAGAATCGCAATTTTCATTACTGCATTGGCAATTTTGCTCCAATTAACAGCGATAAACAAGCTTTAAAACAAGAGGGTAAGTTTCCGCTCTGTTTTCAAATATTTCAAAAGTGTTACTTTTACCCCGCACTCGACATTTCGGAACAGAAAATGTATGACACATTCATTACTTTCATATCAAACAGAAAACGTTTCCCAACTACTAATAGTTCTATCAGGTTTTGTGTGCTTCAAAAGGGACTGCTGAACACTCTCCAAATTTCCAATGGGGCGTTTTACAAACTTTTCATACTTTCTTGGAAGATCTCCTTATCGAATATGGCGTCTAGGCAGCGGTAGCAACTTAAGCGCTGATGAAACAGAGGAATCCGCAAAAAACAAGATGGCAATGGAATTTTTAGTTGAATAGTACGCAGGCCGCACTGGTGATTATGAAGAGCATGATATTTATGAAGATGCAGCTATATAGAAAGGAGAACAATGCATACGCACGATAACAGCAAAGTTAGAAGCGCAAGCAAGCGTGCTGGAGTTGCTGCAAGAAACTAACGAGGTACGCTCGCCATTTCAAGGTTTTCAAGCCAAATCGGTGCAAAATTAAATATGTTCGCCTTTTTGGAGAAGTATGGATAAGTGGTTAAGCTGCTTCTCCAGTTTATCAAAGCGGAGAGAACTGGAAATTGGGAATTAAATCTTGTGGGTGTTGCAGAAATGGTGCCACATCTCTTCGCCATAAACAGGCCGAAATACGCGCGCTGGTTTCCAGCGGAGAACTAGTACTTTCGGCGAACTCGCATCCAAATATTTCAAATTCATAACTACAGCGCTAACCAATAGCAAAGAAGTGAACATCATCTTCGACCAGTACCTGATTGTAAGGATAAAAGCAGGAGAACGTGCCCGCAGAGGTTCCCTGGGTGCCTCGCTAAGATCCACGGGCCATCTACTCCTGTGCCAAAACAGAGGGGAAAGTTTTTTCCTAATTTGAAGAACAATGTTACTCTATGTGCATTTTTATTTTCAGAATCCCTAGGTAACTTGCGGAAACAGCGGCTTCATCCAGAGAGGATCAGTTCTTGTCATCGGTGGATGATTCAGTGATTACAAACGAGCGCGGTGATAGTAAGGGACGGCCATTGCGGAGGTGTGCACAACCTGAGATCAGACTACAAAGAAGCAGACACGAGGCATAAAACATTGTTTCTTTGGTGGTTCTATAGACACTCAGATGGTGTGTGATATTAAAATGTCAAATGTCAAATAGTTGACATTGTTTAACTTGCACTGCCATTTTACAAGTTAATGCTACTTGCTACGTATGCTGCAGATGCCCATTCAGAGTGTCGTGTTGAATAACAGTCGCCTAATGCCGATGTTCTTGCTCTCAGCACAGTGTATATGACTGATATCAACTATGCTGAATTTTGGCTCAAAACTGACGTGACAGACCACCCACGCTATATTCCGGTCCATGATGCAGCATCCCAGAAGCTAGCAGAGAAGACGTGCCGTGCCCTTCTAGCTTTCCATGCGATTACCGGCTGCGATTCAACCAGTGCCCCAACCGGAATTGGTAAGGGGAAAGGCTGACAAGTGCACTGATTTAAATGTTCTGTGTGCTCAGCCAAACCTGAGTGAGAACATTGCTTTCAGATGTGAAGCTTTCATCTGTGACCTTTACCCAAGCTTTAGAATATCGCCATATACTGCAGATGAATTGAGATGTTTTCTGTTCTTTCAGAAAAGAAACAGAACAATGAACAAGTTTACTCCAACATTTGAAATGAACGAACTATCAAACGTTTGTTTGGAGAAAGGCTCTCACAGCAGACTGGCAATACTAATGGATGGGCGCGAGAAGCCCGCTACTGAGGCTGACCTACAATCTACATGACAAAAGAGCCAGCATAGAGTAGCCTGCTGGACTTAACAGCGTGCACATGCAAAGATTTCTTACCATTTTCACTGCATTCCCTCAGTAGGGTAGGACTAGAACGGAACATATGCGAACCATGCGAGTAGTCCACCCAATAAATCCCACCCATCCCACCTAGGGGAGGACATTCATCTCGTGCGGGGGAAATTAACGTCTCCTACCCTTAACCCTGTAGGACGGGACCTCCATTTATTCGTCCCTATCCGAGAAGACTAGAATATCTAACCATTTCTTGACGTTATAGAAAGGTAGCATATTCTTCTCAATTATTTTAAGACCTTGAGTGTTGGTCCGGCCGGGACTTGAACCCTCGACCTCCCGCAGAACAGTCCAGCGGTCTATCCATAGAGCTAACCGGAAGGCGGATGGATGACAGAGTAACTATTATAACATAACCAAAGTAAAGCGCGCGCTCTGATTGGTCAATTTAGCGTCCCCCATTTTCCCATGGGTGTACGCTGCTGACGTGAGCAAATGCAAAGACTATTTTTCCGCGCGCTTGTTTTTTCTGGTCGCCTAAGATTTGTTAAATAAAAGGGAATTCTTTAGCTACAATGTATTAATGTTATGTTATAAAACAAATGGTAAACACCACAGCGTACATTATTGAGTTATGGATGCACTTGGGAGGTTTGCTAAGCACTCAAGAAGCTAGAGTCGCTCTCGGCTATCGCCTTGAGCGACTCTTACGCTTCTTTCGTGCTTAGCAACCTCCCGCGTGCATCCATAACTCAATAGTGTACGCTGTGGTGTTTACCATTTGTTAAATAGTGTACGAACTACTCGTATACAGGCCTGTCATATTCAGACGCATGTTATTGCATGGCAAGTATTGATTTTAATAGGAATCCCCATGGAGTTCGTTTAGACCTTTCTAGCGATCCTGAAGACTCTGAATCTGGCTCTGAGTGAGAACAATCATTCTCATATTGAGTTTAAGAATAATATAGTTTGGTAGATATGTAGATACACGAACGGTCTTAATCTGTTTTTTTTTTTAGTGAAGATATGACGACGTAGGATTATTCCGCTGTCACCAGAAATGAGTCACTTTAGTCATTTCTGCGTAGAAAACAATTTACTATGGTTTGCGGGACATTCTGTACGTTCAGCTTCGTTTCTAGTACTGTTTCTGCGATCAATGTGGCGTGATGAACGAAGTTTTGATAATGATAGAACCCTGTAAAATCAAAAGGTCAAAGTAAATCGCAGCCTCGTGTCTATGCTCAAATGTAGATCGCGTGACAAAATAACACGTGTCATTCATTGTTATTTATTAGACTTACTATGAAACACCTGATTTGTCGAGAGCATTCAGTCAAGATACAGTTACATGTGAAGTTGACATGATAATCCAATATCGCACGAACTACCTCACGTTGATCATGAGGTCTTTCTCTACCAGAATCTAGTGTCAAACCTTTTTTGTGGCTTTGGTTGAACGAAACTCAATATTTGCGATATCTGCTCCTTGACTATTTGCCTCATTTAATTCGGCTGAACGCAAACCTAAAATATCGAATATTTTCCAGATGAAGGTTCCGAAAATGGGTGGAGTAGGAGAAATCGAGGACCAAAGCCGGCGAAATGAGCTGGAAGAAGAGATATCACGGTAATGTTGGTCCAGTGTTGACTTATAATTCGTGTTTTGCAGATCTTCAAAACTGATCTCAGAACATCGTCAGTTTTGCTTGCCTCACAATAGTTGACAAATACTGTACGTTGACCTCCAGCTATAACTAGTTATTACTATTTACAACAACATGTAGACTGTCTGTTTCCACCGGGGGTCACTTAATTTTTTTCCTAGCTATTTCCTATGGGTTGACAGTAGTGAAATGTTAATTTTCGAAATTACTCTCTTATTAACATATTTAGAAAACATTTGACGATAAAAAATTTTGGAAAATATGTCTAAAACCATTAAAAATACATTTTAAGAAGGCTTAAAAAGGCTAGTCAATTGTGGACTGGTAGCGCTCGAGTCTGATGGAACATCGTCTTTAGAAGAGAGTCTTTATTGTAAATACCTACGGTATTTACATGATCTTAGCCATAGGATTAGCCCAACCTTGCGGTCAATTTTTGTTAGTAGAAAACTAGAACAAGACATTAGGACATTAGGACATTAGGACATTAGGAAGCAGAGCCATCCATTGTAAATCAGCAATGCGTTGTTTGTCATCATTCATGTGATCTGTGCGATGCAGATTGGACATTAGGACATTAGGAAGCAGAGCCATCCATTGTAAATCAGCAATGCGTTGTTTGTCATCATTCATGTGATCTGTGCGATGCAGATTATGTCGGCTACACGTCCTGGGACCTTTTCCAATGTATTGCTGAACACAAGAATTCAGTCATTGGCAAGTATAGTGATCTCAAGAAATGTCTTTTTAAGATTCTTAGAAAATATATAACAATTACAAGATTTGATTGCTTGGTATTTGAAATGCTCTTTATCAAGCAACTCAAACCTAAATTGAAGGCGCAAGCGAATTCATATGTGCTAAAGTTTTTTGTTTAGTTTTTTTAGCTATTAATTGTTTGTAATGTTTTTAATAAGCCTCTATTGTTATTTTAGTATTTAGGCCCCTTACACTCACATTATTCTTGACTTGATAATGACGTTATGTGAAGGTCGAAACGTCATCGACTACCTTTTTTTTAGCCTTATTACAATGTATTTTTATTTTATAGACATATTTTATCGCAATTTTTCATCGTCGAATTATTTATATGTCTGGTTTTTTTTTCTGAATACTTCAATAACCTGAGTGAAAATCCCGTTACAGTTCACCTTTGTCGTCAATGTATGCTTAATCTTAATGAATGAAGGCTGATGGTTTCGAAAGAAAGTGTTTGGGGCTGCGTCGGTGGGAGTAACGAAATAATTTCCGTGGATATATCAACAAAGTTGAAATGGTAAATTGGCCACCGTAACGATTACAAAAGCTGACGTTTCGAACGTTAGCCCTTCGCTCCGACGAAGGGCTAACGCTCGAAATTATATGCTTAATTATATGCTTAATCTTAACCTCTCAGTTCCCATGAGTGACCAAGACAGAATTTCTCCTTACATATCGATACAATATCAAGCAGACAAGTGAGGAAAATAACAATTAGGGTATTTTTAGTTGATCCAGTACCAAATTTCCCAAACCAATTTAAAAATGGAAGACACTAAAGAGAATTACGTATGATGCACGATCCTCGCAGTAGATAGCGCTATTTATGCAATAGCGAAAATCAGGATCGTGCATCATACGTATCTAATACCGCAGTTCAAAATATATGAACCTCATATATTCATTGTATCTCATTTATCACTTTCACGGGTTTATTACGAATCAACTTAACGGCCTGCTCCCAGTTGGCTTGTTAGCTCAATTGGTAGAGCGCTGCACTAGTATCGCAGAGGTCAGTGGTTCGAGTCCCGTACAGGCCTGATTTTTTTCAGGTCTGATTTTCGCTATTGCATAAATAGCGCTATCTACTGCGAGGATCGTGCATCATACGTATCTAATACCGCAGTGCAAAATATATGAACCTCATATATTCATTGTATCTCAGTAAAGAGAATTGCTAATAAGATCTTGGGAGTGAAATGGTTAAAATAGCTTCATTGATTGTGTTTTTTTAAAACCATACAAAACCAAAGTGATTATAACAGCCCATTAGGACTTGGGGAAATATTGCAACAATCCAAGAAACGGGATCCGGAAGGTGCTGATTTGTCTTAAGGTTGCCTTCTAATTGCGAAGAAGACAAACTTGTAGCAGGCACGAAGGAAAAAAATTAAATACTTGAGACTTTTGGCTGCCATCTTTGTTACTGAAATGTGTCTGCTTCCTGATGCTCAATCCTTTGACTTCCATGAGTGACCAAGACAGGATTTCTTCGTACAATATCAATACAATATCAATACAATATCAATACAATATCAATACAATATCAATACAATATCAATACAATATCAATACAATATCAAGCAGACGAGCGATGAGAATAAAGAAAATATCAATAAGAGGGTTAATAGTTGATCCAATACCAAATTCTTCAGGCTAACATCATGGGGATGTATGATTTCTGAAAATGGTTCTCCTTAAACTCGTTTCTTTTGGCTTTCAGTCATCGTTTAATGGTGTTTGATATGTGTACAGGTTGACCAATCCAAGTCCGTTAACTGATCTACGGTCTATGGTGATGTCACACCCCCCACTAAACCCGATGCCCCATCAGGCACCGCGCCAAATTGCAATCACCATTGAACTGCAGCAGCTTTTAAGAATGCAGCAACAACTACAACAACGACTACAACAACGACTACAACAACGACTACAACAACGACTACAACAACGACTAACGCAGCAACAGCAACAAGAACAGCAACAAGAACAGCAACAGCAAGCGTTGCAGTTTTTGACACAACAACAACTGCAAGCAAACCAGCAGGTAAGACATATACCACTCAACAACCATGTAAGGGACCGAACTTTTTAGCTGATGTTTTCAATTCCGTGCACATTAAGTGGAAAGTTGAAAAGTTATTGCAGAATCAGAACCATTTTTCTCAACTCTGCTTGGTTAGCTAATGTTGTAGAGCGCCAGGATGCCGCTCGAGAGGTCGAGGGTTCATGTCCCAGACCGAACCAACTCTAGGGGTCTTAAAATTACGGAGAAGAATCTCTTCAAATGATTAGACTTTCTAGTCTTCTTTGATAAGGACGATAAACCGTAGGCCCCAGTCTCCTGCATCTTCTCTGCACTTATCAGCAGGGGACGCTAAGGAACCCACGCATTTTTCAGAAAGAGTAGGGAATGTAGCTCTTGGTGTTGTGGTCTGGCCTTTTTTTTTTCGCAGATACAACCAACCTTCCAAAACCAGTACCAGCAACAGCAACAGCAACAACAGCAGCAACAAAATCGTGCCCCAACTGAATTGATGACGGGATTACAAAGACAGTTCTCAGGTAAAAGATTTTTGGCTTGCTTCGGCAAAACCCTAGAAAAATTTTTCAGTGGAATCGAATAACGATAGTTTGAGAGAAACGCCGTACGATTGGAGACAAAACAAAACAGTAAACACAACAAAAGTCGAGAACAAAACAACAACAATAAAAAAACGAAAATAACTTTAAAACGCTTCGCATCTTGGAATACTTCTTTTTCCTCGTAGCCTTCCCAGCATAAGTTTTGATACCTAAACGTAGGCTCAAAATTTCAAACTTCACAAAATTTAACATTACAGGCTAGTTTAGTACTTGAATTAACCGTCCTTTTTCGCCGTAATTCTTGAGAGTTATTTATCATTGATTTATTTCATTGATTCATTTTCTCTTTATTTTTGTCTTTTCGTTGGCAAGTTGTACTGAGATTGTGATACATTCCTTGCCAGAATTGTGTATGGCGTCGGCGACTCTAGGACCACAGGCCCTTACACAGCAGGCCCAGCAACAACAGTGCACAGGAAACCCTTAGTACTAGACACCCCAGTTTTAAAGGGAATATAACGTAGTTTAGCCTTAACATATAACAGGAGCAAGAAATAGGTCTTCACTACCTTGACTTCCCCCTCCATCGTCCCTTTCATCTAGTAGAGACCCGCCCTTCCCCCACCTTCTCTTTCGTCTCGAGGAGATTCCTTGCTTCATCCTTCTCCTTCACCAAATTTCAGGTGCTGAAAGCCATAACTTTGGGTTGTTGTAGAGAAATGTAACCGTTACTGATATGAAATCCGTAATTGTACACCTTGCTTTGTTTTATGTTTATTTTTTTGTACCGTCCCAGTTCAAATTCTTTTCAGCTCGTGGTTTCATGTTCTAGAACATTTTATCAAAAAATATCCTTGTAATTAGAAATAATGGAGAAAATAAAATAGATAGAAAAGTCATGTCCAACAAGTTAATAAAATGCCCATTTTCCAGTTGTTGAGGTCAAGTAATAGAAGAGAAGAGGTCTAGGATGGCGCCCAAACTCTGAAATTACACAGCTTCCAGAGAGAAGCGAGACAAATAGTTTGCGTTTTCCTAACGTTAAAAGCAACATAAAATTAATAAGAATTCATTGTGCAAGACTGCATATCTGCACGAAGAAGGCTCCACTCGAGGCTTAAGGCTTGACCCGGAGGCAGAAGGGCTCTCCAGGGAAATTGTGATCGCGAGCGACACGGTCTGGAATGCGAAATGGATTTCGGGTTAGAGCACTGATGGTCACTCATGGATGTTGCCAAATCATCGCAGCAACATAGTAAAGCAACAGTGTTGCCCGTATTAATGCAACAATCTTATTTTTTACAAGACTGACTGATCAGAAACGAGCGACTAAAATGGTAATGCCGACTATCATGTTGCTGAACATTATCCACTTACGAACCACACTTTTGATTGGGACTCTGCGCAATCCCTAACTTACAGCATGCTCTAACTGTTTTAATTTCAACGACTGACTCTGGAAAGTTGATTCACAAACTAATGTTGGGGGTTTTACAGCTCGCTCGGCCGAATTAACGAGAGGTAACAAGACTCTGGACTTTTGTTCTTTTCTTCTCTTCTCGAGAGCTACTTCAGCGACGCTCTATGCATCTAATGCTCTGTGCATCTAATGCTCTATGCATCTAATAATGAGATACAATGAATATATGAAGTTCATATATTTTGAACTGCGGTATTAGATAATTATGATGTGCGATCCTCGCAGTAGATAGCGCTATTTATGCAATAGCGAAAATCAGACCTGAAAAAAAAAATCAGGCCTGTACGGGACTCGAACCACTGACCTCTGCGATACTAGTGCAGCGCTCTACCAATTGAGCTAACAAGCCAACTGGGAGTAGGCCGTTAAGTTGATTCGTAATAAACCCGTGAAAGTGATAAATGATTTTCGCTATTGCATAAATAGCGCTATCTACTGCGAGGATCGTACATCATACGCATCTAATAATAATGCTCTAGCTTGAGGAACCAACGCTTTAAGTAGGAAAACCATAGACATGTTTGGGTTAGCTGACCGTGGGAGTTTCCACAGTGTATCCGGTTATTTTTCAAAAAGGGGGAAACTGGGTGGCTCGCTCCGAAGTACTTGGCGAGCACCAAGAAACCAATTGAACTTTAACAGCTGCACACAGGAATCGCGCACACAAACAAGAACTTTAGTATGGGTAGAACTCAAGGTCAGCTTTACCAACGCAAACACGACCACCTGTGAAACTGTCTAATTGTCTAAATGTCTAACAAGGTAACAAGGAAATCCACGAGCTGAGCCAAAAAAAATATAAATCGATCTACCAAAACAACACGTAGGCGAAAAAGGCAAGGCTCAACAAAACAAAAGTTAAACTGAAAAAGCCTCAAAACAACAACTTCCGATTCACCTCACAACACTAAGAACAGAATCCCCTTCCCCCCCTCCCCCCACAGATGTCGTCAACTACTGGCACCATACAAACGCAGTTGTTCATGACATTTACAGAACACCTAAAAATCAAATCCTTATCATTTTTCTGAGGTATTCCATAGTGGCTACCAAGCAACGAACTTTTTAGTGCATTAAATCGTTTGACTGGTCATAAAGAACACTTCAGTGGTTTAGTTTGTGTTGTTTTCGTCTTTCGCACGTGCCTCATTTGATCGATACGATACTCAGATAACGCCTTAGGGAACGTAAACAAGCTACACGCTAAAACACTGGAAGATGTGATTTTTCTCGTTCCTTCGAAACGCGGAAAAATACTATGCAACTCGCTTAATGTCTGCGCATATTTTATGTTAAACCACCGAACGAGATGTATATATACACAGCATAAGAGAGTTAACGGAAGGTTGTTGAGTATTCCACGTTAAAATTGATAAGCACATCTTATCATCCATGAGGTACAGTTTAACTATGTCCCCGCTGGGCAAATAATACTTTCCTGGAAAAAAATTAACAGCCAATTGAGTAATGAATTGATTTTAAGCATCACTTTTTGCACTTATCTTGAACAGCAACGGAAATAATTCGTTGCATAGTAAAAAATCACAAGACTTCCATAAAGACCAAAAATAGTGTCTAAGAGTTTGGACCCTGGGATTGGTCTCGCGCTCGCTGGATTATAAATCGAAACTGTGACGTCAAAATATCACTTCGCTCTATTTAATTTCTCGTACCGAAGCCGTGCGTTTTTTATGTGAGAGGTAAAACAATACAATACAATACAATACAATACAATACAATACAATACAATACAATACAAACTTTATTGACACTCCCTAAAGAGGGTTTTTCGGTGACAATGATCTAAAAATTACAAAATTACAATACTAAAATGTGTAATAGAAAAATTAAGTAAGCCAAAATGTTAATAAATGTTCGCCAAAGTTACAACTAAGAGCGATGAGAAAGGAAAGCAGCAAGTAATTTGGCTCTAAGTTTACGCTTAAAATTACGAGAAGAATTACAGAGTTTACAAACGTCTTGTAACAAAGGGAAAGATTGTGATTTTGATCCCTGTGTTTACAATTTTGCTTCAATTAACAACGGTTACAAACGCTGTAAAACAGCAAGGTAGGTTTCAGCTCTGTTTTCAAATGTTTCAAAGGCTTTACTTTTTCTGCGCAATCGACAATTCGGAACAGAAATGTATGAACCATCCTTATTTTCGTATCAAACCGAAAAGGTTTCACGACGACTTTAATTCTGCCAGGTTTCATTTGTTTGAAAAAGGATTGTTGAGCTCTCTCTAAATCTCCAATGGGATATTTTGCAAGATTTTCACACTATCTCGGGAGAGTAAACATATTTGGGGTTGCCATGACTGCCCTCGTCAATATTAGGCGTGTTTGACCTGCGCGTGCCCCCCGTACAGGGCGCGCTAATCTTTCTTTTTATTGAAGCGCGCGCCTCGACGATTATTCATTATTATTATTCGATCACACAATTCTTTTTCCTATCAAAAACATCTGTTGTCAATCGAAGAAAAAGTTCATATCCATATATGTACTTATAATGGACATGGCTGTAGGAAATAGTTACCACATAATCATGCTACTGGTAATTTTATTTTGTAATAGGAAATTTTGAAGCCATTAAATGGCAAAAGCTACCCTTGGAAGATTTCAACGAAGACACGTCCGTAGTCGGAACTTGGAACGAAAAGGTTTGTCAGTATTTTCAGAACAACAACTACAAATGTAATAAGTTCAGCCAAGAGCCATAATGTGGCTCTTGGTTCAGCGGTTTTGGACAGCCTAAGTAGTTTTTAGTCGACGTAGTTTGCCAAATTGTATAACGAACTTGAAATGTAACCTGCTTCATTTCGGATTTGTCGGATTCGATTTATAAAATATACGTTAGGTTGATCATCGCTGTCTTTGCCAATTAAAGATCAAAATCCGCACCAACAGTAAGAAAGCTGAGTGTAAGCTAACACGTCTCACTTTTCAGTTTTCCTCACAGGAATATGTGATAAGCATTCAGATGTTATCGTCGTATCTAGATATATGAAACTGATTTTCCTCAAAGGCTCCAAAGACTTGAATAGTCCACATCTTGGAAACGATCCGCCCATCCTTGGAAAGGTATTTAACTAAGATAATCAAAACTTAATTTCTTTTGGAATTGATTATTCCATCTGCCTGTATTGCGTTTAACCATGCTAGTATTTCCATCCATTTTCTTTGTTTTCAATTTCTCGTCTAAATGGGCTAGAAGATCTGTAGATGAAAAAACCAACGCAAAATTTTTTCACAATGATATATATTTTAAAAAGCTTTAAAGCGGGACTGTGACGAAAATCGTATCATTCCGTAAAACCTTTTTACAACAATATCTCGAATTTATGCACTTTGAATAACATATGTATTAAATATTGGAAAAATCTAGCCAACCACCGCCGAGAAAATGAAACTTTTGCGTTGGGAAATCGCCCTTCCGCCATATTGCTGTTGAATAAATGAGCGGCTAGACATCGGTAACGCCTCAAAGCATAGTGACGTCATCCAATCAAGACAACTCGAAGGCAAGAGAGCTTGTAGGGCAAAATCAGTCTTCAAGCGAAAGTGATCGATCATCTAGTTATTGCTCCATTCCCTCGATAGCTTCCCTTGAAAGTGATATGAACAGTACTTTTCCTGATGAAAGAACCAATGTAATTGAGGAATTCTATTTCCTTTTCCTGTAGGCGATCCGCTTTAAGTGTATCTATTTTGGTTGTCAGCGTGTTGACTGTTTTCTTCCGACTTCGGTTTTCGTCTCCCACAAACTTTTACGCGTCGCAGCTATGGTGGAGGTATAAGTGAGTCCCTTCCTAAAATGACAAAAATGGAGCATTTAATGATATAATTTGACTCTAATACGTTGGAATTCCTTGACTTGGCCATGTGTTGTTTATATTTAGAGCGCTTGATTGTTGTGCGGGAGGTCGATGGTTCGAGCCCCGGCCGGACCAACACTCAAGGTCTTAAAATAACCGAGGAAAATGCGCTACCTTTCTATAATATCAAGAAATGGATAGACATTCTAGTCTTCTCGGATAAGGACGAATAAACCGTAGGTCCCGTCTCCTGCATCTATTAATTAGTTAATTCGGTTAGGCAGGGGACGTTAAAGAACCCACTCACGAGATTACTGTGATGTGGTCTGGCCTGTTTACTGGGAATTGGGGGTAGGGGGCATATTCAAATACGTTTCCTTCGATTGTTTGTAAACCGCTGATGCAGTCCGGCCAAAGTCCCCCGAAAAGTGTTGTGATGCGCATTTGATCATATCCACATGTTAATTTGCGCAATATAAATATTAAATTATTATTATTATTATAGGTACTGACACGATCGCGTGTGTTCGTATGCAAAATCTCTCTTGTTTTTACCTGGTAATCTATTGTTTCCTTGGCGGGAAACGAAGCCGCAAGCTCGTCTACTTCGAAATGAGAAACGGCAATCTCATCGGCGGAATTTCCCGTTAACTCCGAAGATACTTCTTGATCCGCAGAAGCATCGTTATTCAAAGAATCAGAATTGGCAATGATTTCGGACCCGTTCACGAAATCTGACGATGTAGATGTCGGTAGCTGCATGCAGAGATCACATAAGATCAATATTGATAGACATTGGTATTGTTTTATAGAAGACAGCTTATAGTAGAGAAAGTAACGTACAGCTGTGTACGTATAATGAGTTAAAAATCAAACAGTTGAACATCACAATAACATTTTTATCAAGTTCACTGTGGATACCATCAAAGACGTTTTATTGCCGTGTTCTGCTGTAGATGCACTTCGCACTCATGGTTTATCTCTATTACAGGATTTGCCGGGCAGAGTGGCATCGCTGTCTTCGAAAGAAATATCTCTTTCATAGTCTATAAAGATCAATAAAAATTATAAATATTATGAACCTTTGATAAATACGAAGTTTGAATTTTGCTGGACGGTCACGTCTTTTCATTCTAATGAATGCGACTAACACCTCCACTTTGACAAACTGTCGAAGAACTATTTAGACAGATTTCCAGAATACTTTACTGCAAGTTACAATAAACCAACGAATAACGAATAGTGAATGAAAGCTTGGAAAATTATACAGTTTATGTGTTTTTTAGATATTTCCTACAGGTGTGGAATAGTTAAGAAAAATTGATTAGAAAAGTCGACTCACCGTGCGTGATCCTTCGATGAAGTACTTGAGGTTTTCTCGTGATTACCGCGGCTTTTTCGCAAACGTTTCCAGTTAGTTGGTACTGATCCCGGTAACAATCTTCTCAATGCCCCTTTTAGATGGCATGTCCTTGAAAAACACGATTCTTAAAAATGCTCAGAGACAACAAAGCGGCCTTCGAGATCGAAGTTTTTTCTGTGAAGTCTGACAAAGTTCTTCCACTTCGCGGCAAGGTTTTTGTGAACGGGGGAGTCGTGTAGAAGATTTCATCTTGTGGATTTGATCTATTGCTGCATCCCTGTACAACGCATCGAGGCGAAGGCATTTTGATATGCCAGCTTTATAATTATAATCGTAAGATTCGAACTTTTCGCGTTTCTTACTCTTATTTAACCATGGAAATAACACTCATGGCTTTGACAACTTTGTGTCTTGGTTGATTGGATGACGTCACTACCGGTCTCCCCATACTTCCTCGGCCACATTCAGTACATTCCAATCGGATTCAACAGCCTCGAAAAAGATCGTCCAAAAAATACTACTCACCGTAGGAATTTAAACTCAAAAATCGATACAGTTATTCCTTTACGTTTTGAGATCCCAAACACAAAATTTCATTGTGATCGGAGAAACTGACGTTTTTCGTCACAGTCCCGCTTTAAGAAACAGCTTTAACTTTGATTTTTAACCGAGATATCTATAGTGACCATAAATTTTCACCCGTTTTTCTCCCTTAGATTCTCAAGTGCAAAGAACCACCGGAATATCCTGTGAATATGACGTGCTCTGAGCACCAAGTATTCCAAAGGAAGGAACCTGGACTTATTACACGGGCGGCGACGAGGATGAAAAACACGTGGAGCTTTATGGTGACAAAAATAGTTGAAGCCTGGAAAATATGTTCTAACGGAGTTGGAACAATAGTTAAGAACATTTGCAAAGGAATGAAATGGGTCATGCATTGGGTTTGTTAAGTTTGGACAGGACTAGTGGATTGGGTCGATGGAATTTGGAGAGGATTGATGAATTGGGCCGGTAAAATCTGGAACGGACTGAAAGGGTTGACGGAATGGATTTTTCTAACGATAATGTGGGCGGATGAATGTGTGTATAAGGGAAGTTTATGGTTGATTGAATGGTATTCGATTAATACTGAATGGTTAACGGAGCTGACTTGGAACGGAATGGAATGGATAAGAGATCAGACTGAATGGTTGGCCAGCGTCTCAAAGGAAAGTGCTTAATGGTTAGCTGAGAAGGCATGGAGTAGATCGAAACGGTTGGCCGAGTGGGCATGGGGGGAGACGAAACGGTTTGCAGACTGGTCATGGGAAGCAATTAAAAGGAATTGTAAACCACTTGAACCTGCGCTCGAGTACGTTTTGGAGACGGTTGAAGTTGTCATCAAGTTTTATAGGTAAATTCATTACTTTACGAGGGAATTCCGCATTAAATTGCACGCGAAAACCGATATCGCACGAATTAAAAAAGTTTTACAACCACTGTTCGCAGAAGTGCTGCTCACTAGTCTAAATTTAAAAAACTAAAAAATAATTAATCAGTGTTAGAAGTTTGGGCACAAGATATGAAACAAAGCTCTCCTGCAACTATACCACTCGGGAACCTTTTAAGTCTTCTTTGATAAACATTCATATCATAGAGGAGACTATGCAGACCTAGTCTGTTGATGTTCCAACCTTCCATCGTTCATGCTGCACACAAGGACTGATGGGGTACTCGTCCTCTCCCGTCAGCCTCATCTCATTCGTCAGAATTTCTTTTAAAAGAGAGCTATTATCTTGAAATGTAAACCATTTATCTGCTATGACAGGGAGTCGCACGTTTTTTACCAGAAGAGACCTGTGATCACATGGTGCATCCTCGCGAGACGATAAAAGAACATTTGGATGCGGTTCTTCATGTAAAATTGGGTCAGAGTGTGACTTTGCACTGCTTTGTTCGGGAATATCGGTTCCCGGATTGTTAGCAGGGCTTTCTGTTGCTGGATTATCTACCTCCAACGTTGGGGGAGCTGCAGTGACGTCTGAACCATTTAAGCTCACGTCGAATGATTTATTTTTTAGAAGGTCGTCCATGGGTTCCATTAATTCTATCTCTCTTGGTCGTGTTATACTCTTGTACACCTTTTTATTCAAGAACAGATTTATCTCAGCTGTTCTCGCTCTAAACAGCAAGCGGTAAGGCCAGTTCATTTGCAGCAACGTGGCAATCCAGTAGAATAGAGGATTCATCCAAAATGGCTTCACATTCATATCTGTATATGCAGAGATGCGCTTTCCCCTGGTCAAATCGAGTATTGCCCAATCTTCATATTTCCAGGGGGAGATATAATCGTCAGATACCCTCATCCTCTCTGACATTTCTTTCAACTGTCTCGTAGAAGCCTCGTGTGTTTCCTGGTCACCGAATACGACTCTCGGGTAGCACTTGATGCGAACCAAATCCACGCCCTTCAGGGATGGCATATTTCTCTTGGAAACGTCCACCCATGACTTGAATATGAACTCCTCGCTGGCCAGTTGTGTCACTACCTTCACAGTATAGGTCTCCGCATGAGCTTTTCGGCTTCCTTTAGGGTCCTTGCAGTGGGCTGTTCTGTTGCGCTCTTCGAAATGAAAACACTCCACAACATTGTCAAGCCTCGGTGGGACTTCTCGCAGGCGTTGGATGTACTCCAAAGCTGTCTCATCTTCTACGATGTTTTTAAGATACTGCAGCTCTTCCGAATAAAAGCTCTCTAGCAGGACGATTACGGCACAGACGCCAAGCATCACCGAGGCAAATATTTTCATGATGTTAAACACTGAACCGTAAGTGGTGCAATGAGTCATTTCACAACCAACAACGAAAATAAGCCACAGGTAGAAAGAGAGAGACATGCACATAGAAACAAGTCTTGCACATGGGCAGGTGTTACGAACCTCCTCTATTTCTTGCCTTACAATTTTCTTTTCATAAGCAAGAACGGCTTGTTGATATTCTTGTACGGCTCTATCGAGGTCCTCCTGATTTTTCGCAGAGGCAGCTTTCTGCAGTCGTTTCTCTTGTTCCTTGGCAAACTGTTTCCTCTCCTCTTTTCTTCGCCGCTCATGGTAGTCCAGCGGTCTCTCGAAGGGGTCCAATCTGATGAAATTGACGAAGCCTGTACAGCACCCGAAGTAACACGGCACCAAAATTTGCAAACAGACAGCCAAGCTAACGACCAATGGCATTACAATGGGGTATTCGTCAAAATTAATCGTGGAATTCATTGTCTGAGGAGGCAAATTTGTGTCCGTCTATTAAGCTGATTAGTTTTCACCTTCCCAGGACTATGATTTACGTTTAAGGCCCAGTTCAAACGCCGAACTTCGCATGACGCGACCTAAAATGCAATTTTGGACGACCCACACATGTAGAGTTCAACCATTGATACCGCAATTCACAATTTATTCAAGTTCGATTTATGAAAAGGTCAACGTTTGTCCCACAGTCGATCTTAACACGTTCTATCCGTCCGGGACAGACGGACAGAACGTGTTTGTCGATCCAAATTTAGTTGGACGAACTCAACTGATTTAAACGTCAAAGTTAACTTGGATCTAATTTTCGAGTGCGATGTGAAGTTCGCCGTTTGAACCGGACCCTCGCCGAAAAAAATGCTGCTAACTAAAGAGACATGATCGTGATGGATGATATAAATCGCTGTCTGGGTGATCATAGTTCATTCATTGGTAAACAGCGACAGAATTGAGTCACAATGATCCGTATGAGGATTTTTGAAACATTTTAAGGATTTTTAGTCGATGATGTTTAAATATATACAGCCGATGGCATAAAAACAACTTTACTTCGTTCTGTTTCCAAGCGGGCTCCATGAATATGCCAAACTCTACTTACTGTTTCTTGTCGTTATTGCTTCTTTGAAAGAGAAATATGTAAGGAGACGAAGCTAACGAACCAGTTACATTGTGTAGTAAATAAATAATCCTTTCAATCAAGGCTGATAGTTTCTAAAGAAACTGTTTGGGGCTGCGTCGGTGGAGGTAACGAAATAATTTGAATATATCAACAA